TCCACCAGAGTGAGCGTGGCGGCGTCACAGGCGTCAGCGGCCACGCTACAAGGCGGGTCGTCTCGACCAAAACCACTCATGGTGAGTGTCCTGTCCTTCGAAGGGAAGGGAGGTGAAAACGTCATGCTGTGGATTCGCGAGGTTGAAATGGCCATGAGTTCGGTTTTGCTCCAACCTGAGCAGCAGCGCGTAGTGTTGCGATCACTAAGCTCAGCGGGCGAACGGATGAGTGGGCTCTCACGAGCGTCGTCGGTCGACGGTACTTTCCCGACGTGGGACGAGCTTAAGGAAAAGCTGTCGGTGGTGTTCCTACCGCCAAACCACGTTTACCGCGTGCGCTCACGCTTCTTGGTATGTCGTCAAGACAAGAAGAATTTGTTGAACTTTGTTCAAGGGCTACGCACGCTCATCGCAGGCATGTTTGCCGATTCACTCCCCGAGGCAGTCACAACCACGGGGTTCATGGATGGTCTCCGGACCAGCGTGGCCTGCACGGAAGTTTTCCGTAGCCGGCCCGCCTCGTTCGAGGAGGCCGTAGCGGGGTGCATTAAATGCCGAATATAACTTCAAGTCGGCTCATGCGAGCTGGATCGCGCCCTTGGCGAGTACATCGGAAGGTCCGGAGCCGATGGATCTCAGCTCTGCTGAGGAGCAGGTGGCAGCGCTCCGCGCCGAAGTAGCTGAGCTACGAACTTCCGGAATGCATCCTTCTGTTCGTCGTTGCTACTGCTGCGGTAGTCCGGACCATCTCAGGCCGATATGTCGGTTGTATAAAGCGCGTAAGGCCGCTTTGGGTCAGGCCACTGATTCGTCGCGAAGAACGGCGACTCCCAGCAGGCGGCCCCGCGCCTGCTGGAGAAGAACTAAGTTCTGTTGGACCTCATGGAGGTACAGGACAGCAGGGCTTGGCCCCGAAGAGAGCCGTACTCTAAAACACGGATCGGGAACGCATGCCAGGCTTGCTGGTCGTTGAGGCGACAGTGAAAGGTTTTGAAAAGCCGTGGATCGTGTTGATTGATTCAGGAACTGGCCCTCCACTATGGAAGGAAGTCAACTGTATACTGAGGCGCGACAAGCGCATTCGCGTGACACTGTCACTGTTCGTCTCGTGACGGGTGTCCGTGTTACGGAACCCAAAGTCTCATTGGACTTGGGTGTCAAGTTCCTTGACTTTGACAGCACGGAACGCTGTTTGTTCTAGGACCTTGATCAGAGGTATGACCTCATCCTTGGTATGGCGTGGCTAAAGCGCCACGAGCCATGGATCGACTGGAGGTCGAAAACATTAGGTGCTACGCACTTCTTACCTGGTGGGGCTTTGGTGAGTCATGAACCCACCTCTACCAGGACACAGAAGCGCTATTGACGTGAGAACCGGACCGAATCGACCGCTCCGTTGGACGTCGTTGTGTCCGAGATCGTGACCGACGTTGTCGAGGACCTTCGTCCTGTGTTTGTGCCGCAAGGCATTCTCGCCAAGTGTTATTGGGCATGGCCCCGACATTGATTGTGCAGTGGCACGTACTCCACAGAGTAGCGCTCGGCCGAATGGTGAGTTGCAGAGTGCTCGTTCGAGCACTGGCGATGGTCTGTCGACGCATGGGGTGGCATGTAATCCACCGGATCCAGGGAAAGTATTGCCGGGTGTCCCGACTGACACCAGTTCCTTAGGGAACGTAAGTGCTTCTGCACTTGGCCGTGGCGGAGAGGCTGTTGCCATGGCAACCTCTTCCACCCGGTCTCGGGTGCGGAGGAGGAGGATGAGACGCAGGGCTTCGGAGACGTTGTCTTCATCGGACGAGGTGTCCAGCGTGTCGAGCGATACGGCTCCACGCGACTGCAGTAAGCAGTTGTACACACTCTTTAATGGAGTGACGGGTGAACTTAATGGCAACATCAACTTGGACACTTTGCCGTCCTGTAATGCTCTGCTAGAGCTGGATGAGATGTGCTTGACTGATTTTGGTGATGCCTTAAAGGCCTGCGGTTTAGCCGACGTGGTCATGATTCGACCTGAAGAACAACTCAACTCGTCGTCGGTGGTTGACGAAGCGGCCCTGGAGGACACCAAGAAGGCGCTGAACGCGCGTAGCGGATCTGAGATCCTCAAAGATGGTTCATATCCATTTCACTCATTGTTGACTGAGTATGGTGACGTCATGTCAAAGACACCGCCCATGGGGCTACCTCCAGATCGAGGGGTCCGTCACGAGATTGACTTGGTTCCAGGAACGAAATACTGCGTAACTCGGCAGTGGCCTCTTCCTAAACATCAATGTGACGTCATTGACGCTTTCTTCGGTACCAAGCACGAAGCTGGGCTAGTGCATGAGAGCAAGTCTCCACACTCCACGCCAACTTTCTGTGTCAGAAAACCAAATGGCAAGTGGCACATCGTTCATGCCTTCGATCCCGGCTCAAACACTGATCCATCACAAGGATGTTCTACAGAACAACATGGTTGGGTGTACGATGTACAGCGCGCTCGACCGGGTAGATGGTTACTCATACGAACTAGTGACATCCCGCTCACCGCGGTCAGTACTCCAAGCGGAATGCCCTGGGAATGGTTATGGATGCCCAAAGGGCTGTCGAACGCGCCGGCGGCATTCAATCGTCTGGTTACGCGGTTGTTTCGGCCCCATCGGGCTTACGCACAGGCGTACTTTGATGGCGTCTTTGTCCACTGTCGTGCGGAGCACGGGAGGTCGGATGTGGAGAACCACGTTCACCATTTGCGAGCGGTGCTCGAGTGCATGCGCACGAACAAATTGTACACCAATGCGGATAAGTGCATTTTCGATGCGGAAGAGATTTTTCTGGGGAGCTTCATTGGGAGGCGTGAACTTCGAGCATATCCCGCTAAGGTTAAGGCCATTGTGGATTGGCCGGTTCCTGTGAACCTGAAAGACTTGAGGAAATGGCTTGGCCTTGCCAATCACCTTCACAAGTATAGCGAGAATTATGCTGATATGACTCGGCCAGTGTCGAATCTCCTTAAGAAGGATATATCGTGGTGTTGGGACACCGAGCAGCAAGCTGCATTTTGAGCCTATCAAAGAAAGCCTGTTACATGCGCCGATACTTGCGCTGCCGGGCCATGATGGTACATTTAGTGTCGTCTGTGACGCTGCCGGGCCCTGATGGTCCATTTAGTGTCGTCTGTGACGCTTCTGATTTCGCGATCGATTGTGCTCTCTTGCAAGCTGACGTCAATGGACGTGATCGCGCTATCGCGTTTGAATCCCGGCAACTCAAGGCCACCGAGAAGAATTACCCTGTCCATGACAAAGAACTTCTAGCGATGAAGTATGCTCTGGTGAAGTTCAGGGTTCACTTGATTGACTCGAAGCCGTTTGTGGTTTACACCGATCACGCTTCGTTGCGTACTGTGAACCAGTCGCCTCACCTCTCCCAGAGAATGGCCCGTTGGCTCTCCTTCTTTGCAGAGTATTACTTCGAGGTGAAGTACACACCTGGCAACAGACCCCAAATACACCTCATGTAATGATCCCTCACGATGAGGAATTGCAGAACCTAACCCTCTATGAGGCGCTCGACTCAGCCGTCCCTGGACACCTTGGTCGTGAGAAGACCTACAGCTCTGTGGGCAGACACTATTGGTAGCCCAAACTATACAAATGGGCGAAGACGTACGTAAGTACATGTGAGACGTGTCAACGGGTCAAACCCTCTACATACTCTTCAGCGCCTTTGGTGAGTTTGTCTACCCCTTCGGGATGTTGGCAGTCCATGAGCATGGACTTTGTGTTTGGCCTTATTAAGGATTCTGATGGCAACGCTGGCGTGGTGGTCTTCGTTGACCAATTGAGCAAGATGGCTCACTTAGCGGCTGAGCTGGATACAATCGACGGCAACGGTACAGCTACGCTGTTTTTGGATCGTGTGTTTCGCCAACACGGACTCCCAGAGTCAGTTGTCTATGACCGAGATCCTCGTTTTACGAGTGACTTTTGGCAGAAAGTCTTTGAAGTGCTGGGCACGAGGTTGGATACGTCCACGGCGGACCATCCGCAGACCGATGGTCAAACGGAACGTGTTAATCGCGTTGTCGAAGACATGCTTCGCAGTACCTGCACGGAGACGCCAAAGCGTTTGAGCGCTATGCTCCCACTCGTTGAGTTCTCATTGAATAATGCAGTTAATGCCTCTACATACTTTAATCCGTTCTATGTGAACAGTATGCGGCACACGTGCGTGCCGCTGACCCGTCACGACGTGACTCTGGGCTTGATGGAGGAGAATCCGACTGGCTGGGAGATATCAGCTCTATCGCTCTGCGGAAACAAGTGGATGATTTCTTGCCGACACGCCTTAGTGTCTTACGTCACGTACTTGACGCGATGGCTGAAAGCCAAGATGTTCAAAAGGAACAAGCGGATGCCAGAGGCAGGGACAATTTATGGAACTTTGAGGTTGGGGATAAAGTGTTATTAAACGCTAAAAACCTTCCTACACATGCAGTCTCTGCGGTCTGCAAGACGAAGCTACGCCCTCGCTTGATTGGACCATTCACGGTCGTGGCCAAGGGCCTGTGTGACGATGTGGATTGTAGTTTTGAGAGATTGACGAATGAGGGAGCGAAGCAGAGCGCGGATTGGTCGAGAGCGATGAGTTCGGAGCTGGTGCTTGCGTGAGACATGGGAAAAATCGTTCTGGATGGAAATGGAGCTAGTAGGTGTGTATTCAAGGAAGGGGCCATGGATTCGGAAGTGGTCATCCAGGATGGATGTTCATCCTGGATGAAAAGTCGCCGAGGATGAATGATTAACCAGGATTGGGAAGACATCCAGGATGAAGTAAACCACTCGGTCCAAGTCACCGATACCCTGACGACAGGTACACTAGAAAGGCAGAAGGGCACCCTGAAGAACGTATCTCGGGCAGCCATATGTCCTGACTTGAGCCACCCTGGTGGTACAGCTACCGATTCCAACTACAAGTATGTCAACGATTGTCCCAGTGATGTCATCAAGTGATATGCTACGAGCAACTACCAGGATTGACCACAATGATGAAGGACATTCAGGATTGAGAGTTGCCTTGGATGACCAAGTGTGGACATGTTTGGATATTGTGTGTGGAGCGTTTACAAGGTTCCAGTTACGATGACCAGTCAGGATGAAGTCGCCATGGTACGTGGACTATTTACAAGGTTCCAGGTGTGCAGGCCACCCAGGATGAAGCCGCCCTGGATGTGGGTACTCAGGATCACATAAATCGGTTTGTCGCGATGTGGTGACATCAACTGACACGCAAGATCTGCGGGAATCGTCAACATGTGATGTGTCTACCTCTCCCCATACAAAAGTCAA